GGGGGGACGGCGGGAGGGCCCGGGGGACGAGCGTTTACCTGAGCCGGGTTCCTGGGCGCGGCCGCCGCCATCGGACTCTGTGGGTGGGGCAAACACCCGGGCCGGTGGTCCCCGTCCCGGCCCCGACGTGGGGCAGCCCGGGCGGCGTCGCCAGCCGCGGACCCGCCTCTCTGCCGTGGGGCAACGACTTCTGCGCCTTGACAGTTCCGTCACTTCAGTCCCGCCCCGGCACGCCCGAGAACAGCAAAATGGCCGCCACAAGGAGGAGGCCGGAAGTCCCACCCCTACGCGATGTATTCCCGCGGAAATGCTTCCATTGGCTCAACTCCGCGCACGACTTTCTGGGTATTGTAGTTGGCAACGCTCTAGTGCGCGAGACAAGGGTTTTTCTCCAGCCTGACCAATCAGACTATTGGCCATGCGGCTCCTCGAGGGATGCTGGAAGCCGAGGCAAGGGGCGAGAGGATTTGCTCTTTGTGAACTGCAGTGAAGAGGCATAATTTCATACTCGGTAAAAGTCAACCAGCTCCCAGAGGATAATACTGTTACTGAGATGCCCCGAAATCCACTGATCTAAATGGTCATATTATTACAGAGAGTCATTCAGACATAAAATAGTCCACGCATAGCTGAAGGCATTTTGTTATTACTATGAAATGCATGTAACCTGATGCATTTGTCAATGTTGTGAGCTCTCTATGATTGGCTCGGGGTAGGGGAAAAACTTTATACAGGGCCTTGACTGGGAATAAAGAAGAAAGATGTTAGGCCGCCCTTAAGCCCGCGAACAAGCAGGATCTCTGCCTCTGGCTCCCACAGAAAATCTGTGCCTTACCTGTAGGGTTAGTGATTGTGTCCTACCCATTTTTATCTATATAGTATTTCTTACTCAATGTTCTAAGATACACTTGAGGGAACAGAAGGCAAGCTGAAGACCCCACCATGGGATACATATGGCATTTCCTCAGGCACTCCTGGCTGCCCTAAAACAAAGGAAAGGAAAAACAAATAGTTAACTTACAGAGATCACAATCCTCCAAGACGTGAGTCTCCCTCAGTTTACAAAAGTCTTAGCAATTTACATTTCTATCAATGGCCTAGCTTGAGAAGGAAATGTAGATACAATTAAATGTCCTTATAACCTGGAGCCCATTGACAGATACTTGAACAGGGCAGAATTTACTGTTCCTCCAGGAAGCTCCCAACTATCTTAATGTTAATACCTTGCTAGAGGGAAAAACAACCCTAACTTGACAATGGCAAGGCCTCTTAAGGGCAGCCTAACATCTTTCCCGTGAGTCTCCTTGAACATGAAAATCCTTTGAAACCTCCCTCTTCCTTACCTCTCCCAACCCCATAGTATATAACCAGCCACCCCTAAAAACCCCGGTGCAGCAGCTCTTTCGGCCCCCACGCTTTAATAAAACCACCATTTTGCACCAAAGACATCTCAAGAATTCTTTCTTGGTCATCGCTCCAGACCTTACCCCACTGAACCTCCCCTATATTCCAAAACCCAATACACTCAATTCTATTGAGAAAACGGACACATTTTAGCACCTTTTAATACAAATTTTTTTGTTTTAAGTACTTGGAAATAATGCATTTACAGTTAAATACTATAGATATCACTGAATGCACCTTTTGGAAATTGTTTCTTTGTCACTTTTAGAAGCTATTGTGAGCCACTGGCATTTGGAAGATACTTTCAAATAGCTGAATGGTCTTTGGGTATTTATCATGTAACTTAAGTAACTCCTTTGCCTTTTATTACCACTGAAACAGTAATATAATCCTTTTCTATGTTGAAGCCCTAACCCCCAAGTGACTTTTTTAAGAGCTAGGGCTTTTAAAGAGGTAATTAAATGAGGTCATTAGAGTGGGGTCCTACTCTATTAGAACTGGCTTCCTTTTAAGAGGAATAGACACCAACACCAGGAGGAAAAGGCCATGTGAGGACACAGCTAGAAGGTGGCTATCCACAAGCCAAGGAGACAGACCATGTATCACCAAAGCTGTTGACACCTTCGTCTTCAACTTCCAGCATATAGAACTGTGAGAAAGTAAATTTCTGTTATTTAAGCGAACCAATCTATGGTAGTTTGTTATGTTGTTATGGTGGTGGTGCTAACACAGCTCTCATTTAATGTGCTCTCTTCACCAAATACATAAATAACAAGGCTCAAAATATAAAGAGAGTTAAGGGGACACAATTGATACAATTCTAAAAATGCTACAAAAGTATAAATCAGCTTTTTCTTTTTTAAAGATATTATTTATTTATTTGACAGAGAGATAGCACAAGTAGGCAGAGCGGCAGGCAGAGGGAAAGGGAGAAGCAGGCTCTCCGCTGACCAGGGAACCCGATGCGGGGCTCGATCCGAGGACCCTGGGATCATGACTTGAGCCAAAGGCAGCCGCTTAACCAACTGAGCCACCCAGGCACCCCTAAATCAGCTTTTTTAAAAATTGGAGGGATTGGGGCGCCTGGGTGGCTCAGTCGTTGGGCGTCTGCCTTCGGCTCGGGTCGTGGTCCTGGGGTCCTGGGATCGAGTCCCGCATTGGGCTCCCTGCTCAGCGGGAGGCCTGCTTCTCCCTCTCCCACTCCCCCTGCTTGTGTTCCCTTTCTCGCTGTGTCTCTGTCAAAAAAAAAAAAAAAAATTGGAGGGATTTAGTTTGGCGGTTCTACATTTATTAAATGTAGAGTTTAATAAAATAAAATGCATTTATTTCCATTGAGGCTTAGTATTTTATATCATGAGTAATGCTGATTATTTATCCAGCCTGATTAAACCCTCATAGACACATCATCTGGCCTAAGAAAAGTTCTGATCGGGGTCCCTGGGTGGCTCAGTCGTTAAGTGTCTGCCTTCGGCTCAGGTCATGGTCTCAGGTCATGGTCTCAGGGTCCTGGGATCGAGCCCCGCATCGGACTTCCTGCTTGGCAGGAAGCCTGCATCTCCCTCTCCCACACCCCCTGCTTGTGTTCCCTCTCTCGCTGTGTCTGTCAAGTAAATAAAATCTTAAAAAAAAAAAAATTCTCTCTCCCTCTGTCCCTTCCTGCCGCTACTCTCTCTCTCTAAAATAAATAAGTAAAATTATCAAGGATGTTCATGTTTTCCATACACTATAAGCAATCCGAAGCAGAGTTATTATCATTATTATTCAATTTTGAATCAAAATGTCCTGGAAGATTAAATGGTATAAAATGAGAGCCTACAAATATATAAATTTGACTAAATAAATGATAGGATGTTCTACAGGGGACTTATAGCCCACAAACGACATTTGGAACATTTGTTTTTTTGCCCAGCAGGCAAAACAAAACGGAGACCTGGGCGTCACTGCTAAAGCATGAAGGGATGGAATGTCAGGGAGCCTGAAGACACCAGTGCAGAGGTGTTCATCAGACCATGGTGTGGCTTTACAATCAGGGTTATGTAAAAATATAAAGTAGAAGACAGAGTAAAAGGAGATAAACATCCACCACGATGAGAATTGTGCTCAGGGCTCTGGCCTCATGGGAAGGTCTAGGGAAAGGTGGTTGCTGGGAATTTGATGGCCTTGCTGCCTGTGCCACTGCAGGTCAGAAATCATGGAGCCACTTGGCAGGCCGCGAAGTTGGGACGCGTGTTAATGAAGACCAACATGAATGTGTATACTGGAACAGTACATTTTTCTGGAACGTCTGAAAGTCAGTATCTATGAATATTTTTGTGTAGTTGTTTTTCCTCTTTCTTGGGCTAGTTCATTCATAGCAATAAAGGAATTTAGCAGGATTTACAGGACCCAGCAGAGGAAACAGCAAAACCCAGTGCACTTTGGGGACATCATTCTTAGCTCCACCCACCTCAAAATACTGGGGCAAAGCTTACTGGCCTGGAAGCCATCTGAGAGCAGGTAGTGCTGAGACAGATCCTTCTGGCCCTCTGTGTAAATAAAGGACAAGTTTATGTCCAACATCACCTAGAAAATATTTCCTTCCAAAGCTGTCATGGTCTTAAGGAACTCCTTAGAGAGAAGTGCTAAGGAGTTGGCAAAGACAAATTGTTTAACCAAATCTCTTGACAATAATCTCCCCATCATTGCTACTCAGTCTCTTTGAGTCTCTTTTATAAAATATCTTTATAAAAAGTATCTTTATAAATATCTTTATAAAAAATAATCTTTATAAACCAAATAAAATTGGACACATTGAAACAATTACACTTTAGGGGCGCCTGGGTGGCTCAGTTTGTTAAGCGACTGCCTTCGGCTCAGGTCATGATCCTGGAGTCCCGGGATCGAGTCCCATATCGGGCTCCTTGCTCAGCAGGGGGTCTGCTTCTCCCTCTGACCCTCCCCCCTCTCATGTGCTCTCTCTTTCTCATTCTCTCTCTCTCAAATAAATAAATCTTAAAAAAAAAAAAAAGAAACAATTACACTTTCACTCTTCCAACCCGTACACTTCTTCTACCTTTTAGTTCATAATTTGGGGAGCTTCCTAGGTATGATCTGAAACTGGCCCCCATACACGGAGGACAGAGGTAGACCACTCCACATTGATAGGTGGCAGGTTTAAGCATGGGAACTTAACATGTGAAGCTTATCTTGGGTGACTGAAAGATGAATAGATCTCTGCCACTGCCCGCCAGAATCTTGAAGTTTATATAGAAGCCTTAACTGGGTTCAGTTGCATAAACCATCCAGATGGTATCAACACCACCTTACTATCTCAAGGCTGTGTCCTTGGGCAGCTTCTAGTGCAGGGAAGGCAAGGAAAATGGACATTCCAAGGACAGGGTAAGGGTTAAGAAGCCTCTGATTGCCCAGGTCCATCTCTTGCATCAACCAGTGGTCATGTCTTCCCGATGACTTCCTCCAATACTACCACCTCATTCATACCTGAAATACACACACACACACGTACATATATACATATATAACACACGTATTTATGTATATGTGTATATATGTATACATGTATGCATATATATTTTTTATATTATTTCAGGGTTGGTGTGGGAACACCCTCTTTCGTTGGAACTATTGGTGCAGAATGTAGTTGGTGTCATGAAGTGGGATTTGCTAGACCAGTGCTTGCTCATGGAAACATGTGGTTTGGGAAGAGAAAGGAGGAGAGGGTCGTAGATAAATAACCTTTGATTTCATGGTGATGACCGTGGTGGTGACCGTGATATGGAGCAGTAGCTGTGCTGTAATCGGTTACTAAAGATAAAACTTACCAATAGAATTCAGAGATGGATCCAACTCCTGGGGAGTTGGTTCACTGGATGCATAAGTGCAAACCAATGAGAAACAGGCTAAATATTCACAACTAAACTAAAAGTAAAGGAGAATGCTGGGTCAAACTTCGTTGCTAGACCAAGCTCATATTTCAGTGAGTCTGAGCTCTGCCCACAGGCCTCAAACCAGTCTCCCAAGGAATGAACTGTGCAGGGATAACAAAGTAATTCTAAGATCTCTGGTCACCAAGATGTTCGTCATCATGGTTGAGGGGCAAACCAAGAAACTTGAAACGAGGGGGCGTAATATGAAGTTCTTTCACTTTATAGACTGGTATTACCAGAACCTTTACTGAAATGTATTATGAGAGTAAATAATTTGGGGGCTATGTCTTTGGCTTTAAATGCTGCAGAATGGAAGAGATGTTTATGTTGATACGTGATCCATGGCTCACTGAAATAATCACAGATGGCTGTATGTGATTGAGACACACAGAAGGTAGTCCTTAGGGGAAAGCCAACTGGTAGACTGGAATAAAAGTTACTGAAAGGTGTGTTAATCCTGAGAAGGGGCCTGTTTCCCCCTACAAATGCCAAATGGAGCAACCTAGATGAAGCAGCTGATATGCTTGGTATGCAAGCCATGTGGGCCTGACTCTATGACTGGGGTACTCACACACTGAATATGCCTGTTACCCAGGTCATGGCAATTGCTGTGGTTAAGGGACCCCTTTCACATGGGCACTCCATACAGCCTA